TGGGCTTCATCATTGGGTCAAACACAATAGATGTTAAGCACAAATATAACAATACTTTAATAAAATAATATTTTTCATTACATTGATAATTTTTCCTTCTTTTTAAATCACATATTCTCTATCACATCACATCAAAAAAATGTATTTTCTTTTAAAAAATGTACATCAAACACACTCTAAGACGTATACTTCAAATATTTGTAGAACATTTTCCATCAGAAGAAAATAATGAGATTAGACTCTGCTGGTGCACAGAATGAATGATCTTTATCAATCGATCATATTTGGATTTTGGTACACCATATTTTACATTTTATCTCATGGCAAATTGTGATTTGACAATTTTAAAAAAAAATATTTTTTCAGCCAATCACTTATGAATCATGTTACTTGTACAATTTTAATCGACAACATCACATTCATTCATTTTGAAAATTGTTAAAAATTATTTTTCACATCAACAACTCAATTTTGACAACACCTGAGTTGTCAACAAGAATTGTACAAATAGTTTAAATGACCACATTTTTACAACAAGGACAATGTCAACAAAAGTGTAAGCATTGGAATGTGCAAATGACATTGTCCTTGTGCAATTTACTCTGTGGGGTTGATAGATTGATCTAGACACCGTATCGAGCCATTTCATTACGCTGTTCTTTGATCGTGTTTATAAACTGTGAATTCATAAAATATATAAATAATAAGTGGATACTAATTTGTGAGTCCTATCACGTGTAGGGACAAACTTAGTTTATGAGGTTGTTTGAGCCCCATTTTTTTAGGATTAATCTATGTGTGTGATATTATTTTATTGAAAAATGTGTAGTTGGAATGAGATCAAATCACTGTTCAAGAATGTATTTGATTAAAAAATAGGATCCAAACGAGGGATATAATTTAAATTTTGTCAAACATACTCATATATTCACTTCTCAAAGTTCTCAAACGCATTATTTGATGAATGAATAGTAACGTGGAAATTTCAACATTATTGAAGTGAGTTGAATTTAATTTGTGAAAAATAAAAATAAATTAATTCCAATTGAATATGTAGATTGCATGATTTTATTGAAAATATTGATTAATTATGTTTATATTTTTTTATTAAGCGAAGGACTGTAAAACACTAGCTTTTTTATTACTATCCTCTTTCTTTGTGTGACTGTTTTTCGTGAATTAAAGGGCGGAAGAGAAGGAAATGGATAAAAATGATATTTGATTAACTTTTCACTCTTTGTTTTAATCATTTGAATTTTGAACTGCTTATTGTTTTGTTGGGTTGGTAATTGATTGATGAAGTTAATTGAAATTGAGCTTGTAAAATAGATAGCTTAAAATATTTTTTTCAAAAGCAAGATAGTTTAAAATTTAAAAAATAAATATTTTTTTAATAATATGTTAAATTAAAAAAATATTAACTTAATATAATTTTATTTATCCTTTCTCATAAATATTGTGCCATTTAATTTAACATGATAATAAAAAAATAAAATTTTAAAATTAGAGCTTGTTCGGGAGGAATTAAAATCCAATTAAAATTGAAAATATAACTGTTATTAGGTCTCACTCGTCTAATAAAAATCAACAATAACGACTAATTTTTTAATTTTAATCTGATTTTAATATCTACCAAACACACTCTTATTAAATATTATAAATATACGATTATAGATAGATACATATGCACATAACAAAAAAAAATTTGAGTATCCCTACAATGTTGAGAGCATGTGCGATCGCTCAAATCGCGCACTCTCAACGATATCAGTTGACAATGTCATAATGATGAGCGAGCGAGGTGATGCAAACTTTGACACCAACTATTTAAGGTCGATTGTTTATCATCACTGGGGAGAAAGTAACCACATTATGAGATTGCAATCATCTTGTCGTGGATCAAAATTGAATTTATCTTATCTCAACTGTCTTGAGTCCAAACTTAACATTTCTTTATTCTCGAAAATTAATGAAACTCTAAAAACACGTGTCCTGAATGAGAAGATTCATCCTGTTACACGTCATTAGTATAGAATATTTATATAAAGAACCTTCTATTCAAGACAATATATATATATATTTTTTATTTA